ATGAATTACTTGATGAAAGGGACTGCATTAGATGCAGAGTCGTTGAATAAACCAGCAATGCTACAGCAGTTAATTACAAAGTTACTTAAAGGAAGAAAACGTGCAGTATTTTACAGTGTATTAAACTTGCGATTGGCTCCTAGCGTGGCTAACATCGTATTAGCAAATATAATACATTTCATAGAAGACTGAAGGAAATGCGTTAATGTCTCTAAAAACCATAGTTTAAGGCCAATTCCATATTGACCAGCAATTAGCAAACAGCAATTAGCTTCCTCTCAGTACTTTCCATCAGTGGCTTGCAAGTGCACTATAAAAGGGGACTCTATAATTATGCTTATTTTACTGATGAGGTGAAAGATGCATGGGGAGAAGTAATGCAGCCAGCGATATCTGACAGACTAATTGCAGCCTGAGTGGTATCACTCTGCCCCACTAATCTCAGGCAACCCTAATGGCCTGTCTCACAGCAATTTTGACATAATTTGACAATTTTCCACATTTCTCTTTTTTTTGAGGGTTTTTTGTTTTTTGTTTTTTTTTTTTTTCCCCAAGAGTAATCTAAAGACACTGTATCGGACACATTAACTTTTAATGACAGCCACAGGCAGCTGCAATTTCCCTCAGTAAAATAAATGATTAATTAGTAAAACACAGTATGCAATATATGTCCAATGTGACTTAGTCCTATTGCTAATTGTAGCAATTAGCTTAAACTCCACAGCCTGCATGGTGTTTTCCAAAGCTCCAAAAAAAACCACCATGGGCTGAAAAAAATTATATTCCAAATTACACAAACATACAGACAACATATCTTACTTCTCTAGATTAGTAACCAGTAAGGTCACTTCTGATAGACCCTTAAAAATACCTAAAAGTAGAATTATGCAGCTGATAAACTATATATTTCATAAAGAATACATGGAAAATATGACCTTATTTCTACAAGCCTAAAGATTTTCCTTTTACTATGGCACTCAGTAAAATTAATCTACAAGCTCAACAACTAAAGTTTGAACAAAACCCCATTATCACTGATTAAATGGATTCCTCCCCAGTACAACTGCATTTTTCCATTCTGTTTATTTCAGCATAAAGACTTTCTCTTGCTAGGCACAAAGCCAAAGCCATACAAGTTTTGTCTCTGCCTGAAATGTTCGACCAAAGATGTTAAAAAAGGCAAAGCCCTTAAATGTCCCCTCGATTAGCCAGCCTTCAACATTGCCTAAGCCAGCTATAACTCAAGCCATAAAAAAGTTAACAGATGGAAATAATTTCATTCTCATCTGGAAGAGCACAGGAAAGCCAACATATTGCTTGGTTATGAGGCATTATATATTCATTATTGCTGATAGCAATGAGTGAGAAAGAAGCTACAGTCTAGTTTTCAGAAGCTCATTGGTCAAACAATCAACTAGTTGCCAGAAATGTTATAAAACATAGAAAGTATAGAACGTCAATTGTTCCATACTTCCCCCCCAAAATGGGGGAGAAAAAAATGACAGAGAATAATTGAAGAAATACTCAGAGCAGAGAGGCCTGTCTCAAGTCAGAAGGTAAAGAATCAATTTCTTAGGAGAGGATAAAGCTCCCAATTTCATCCATCCCACTCCTATTTTCTTCTCTTCTCTCTTTCAAATGAAAGGAGTTAACTACTGACAAAAAAAGGACAGTACTACAAAGACTTGGAGAAAATAAAAAAACAAAAACCAAACAGCCAAAATAAACACCCAAGAGCTGGAGAGAAAAGGGAAACCACTAAATCATGGACAGGCTGCAAAACAGCTTACACTGTCCACTGTGCTGAAGTGGCTTTTATCAAGCTGCCCATGCTGGGTAATATGGGTAATTCTCTGGTAGTACTTTTTCATTAAATTATGCATCCCACAGGTCTTGGTTACACAACTGATCACAGATTTGTCTGTCAGAAATTGAACATCCATGAGAAAAAGCTGCAGAAGAGATTGAGAGAGATCTTATGGAGCACTTGGAAAATCACCAATTTTCCTCACATGCCAGGGCCCTCCAGACTATCCAGCTTTGTTACCCAGGGTTTTGGGAAACCTTACTGAACAATCTGCCTTATGAGCCTTGCATGGCCAAACCCATAAAGAATTATTAGTAGACATTTTCAAGGCTTTTTCACTGAAAGTGAAATGGTAATTAATTCTCTTAATTGAACAATCATTCATTAGCCTTTTACTAAATAACATTCTCAATCTTGAAAGTTACTGCCATGTCTTCAATTTCCCTTTTCAAGATAAGACTAATAACAAGCCTGTAAGTCTGCAGCACAGTACAGCATATATTGTGTGCAGTTTTTCAATTTAGATTCTTCAATTACAAGCAACTGCAGCCAAAGAAGCATATTTTACTAGCTAGTATTACATTTTGGCAGATCATAATTAAATTATTCCTTAGAAGCAGCACTCAGTGCTCAATAAGAAGGATTACATTGAATAACAGGGCTAATATTTTAACTCAATTAGCATGTTATTTTTCAATAAAGAGGTATACACTACTGTAACTCCTTCTTCTATGGGTACTATCAGCTATAAAATAGAAATAGTGCAACTTTTTTTTTGTGGAAACCCATGTAATTTTCCCCATGAATTTTGTACACTTTGTATATTTTTGAAGTGCATGAAAACATGTGACATATTATTTTTATAAATATATAATCTTATTTTACACTCTTGCAAGCATAGAATATTTCAATTCTACAAAAGACTGCCAGAGACTATGTTTTACTACATCTAAAAATGCTTGAGCATTCCACAGTAAGGAAAGAATTTTTCTTTTATGTCTTTTGTTCTGTACTGTTCTGAGTTTGATTTATAATATTGGTTGGAGCAGAAGTGATTCTTGGACGAAAATATTACACCTAGTTGCAATGGAAGTAAGGGATCTTCTCTATGGAAACTGCTAAGTATGCTCAGATGACTTATTTATCCGATTCTTCAATACAATATTTCAATTTTATGGATTTATATTTTCCTATAATCTTTCACTAATAATTTAAAAGTGACATAAACATATAAATGTCTGAATATCTGAAGATAATCAAGTTGTGTCATTTCAATACAAATTTCTAACATATTTCAGAGTCATGTCCTTGATTGTTCAAAGTAGTTTCTCAGGTTCTTTCAAGGTAAATTACAGCACATATGGACATCCAAATGTAGGATTAGGAAAAGGCCATTTTGATTTCATAGGGCAAGACAAAATGAAAACTACACACTGCCCTACAGCCAGCTGGGGAGATGAAAATTATATAATAAAAAGGAATAAATAGGCAAAAGACTGAATGATTAAGATGAAAAAAATAAGATCAATGAGTTACATAAGGAGGTATTAGTAAGTGGGCATGAAATTCCAGCGAGTCACATAAAATACCTTACGTTCCTTTTGTGGAGATCACCTGGTGAATGTTTTTTAAAGATGAAGTACTGAAAGGTAAGACATATTTCCAAACAGAAAATAACAGTAGATTCTTACACAAGTTTAATGAAACTCTAAGTTAAAACTAAAATTCTTACACTTATCATCATGGTAAGGATTACCTTTCTGAGCATTATAGAATTATTCACACCAGAAACAACATAGAATGCTGACAATATCACCACCTGACTGTTACAACTGCTATGTCATATAATATCACGATTCTTATTTACTTCCAGATAAAATGAAGTTATAAATCCTTTAAATTCACTCTATATTCTCATATGATATAAAAAAGCAACTAACAGAGAATTAATTATTTCAATTCCAGATTCAGTAACTCAGAAGTGCATTAAGGATCCATATAGAACAAATCAAGATCCTAGTGAAACTGGAAAGCCTGGGGCTTGCCAATGAGCCAAAACCATACTGTTTAGGAGGACTAATTGTGAACTACCATGGCTAAACCTTTGACAAACCTTTTCAGATCTGGTCAGCTTAGATACAGTTGACCAAGAAGTGACCAGTAAAAACCCCCCAGTTTATTTTCAGTCTTTATTGCATGAAGCTTCAACAGGAGAAATTCTGTTTCCATCTTCAGGAAAAAAGTTAAAAATTATGAAGTCACATATTGGAACGGTTACTCAGAAATGATGTGGAGACCCCATTAAGGTACCAAAAGTTTAAGTGGACAAGGATCTGAGCAACCTCTTCCGAGTCGGCCTTGCTTTGAGTAGAGAAGGTGTACCTCCAGAGAGCCCTCTGAACAAAAATTATTCTGTATTTCTATGAACTATATTGATAAAAACAAACAAACAAAACCTTCTTGTATATCAAAACATAATGCAAACTGCAATTTGCTGACAATGAAGATGAAAGTTCACAGCATATACCTGAGTAAAGGCTCCACAGATGGAAAGTATTAAAAAAAAAAAAACCCAAATAAATTTATTTCTCTAAAATTCTAATGACAAACAGAAAATAAAATTTTCAAAGCAACACCAGCAGTCCATAGGGGAAGCAGGAGAATATAGCAGGACAATACAAGCCAGGACTCTTGAAATTGTTCAGAACGGCCCAGTGAATGGCCCACAAAATCTGATTTCAACCATCATTTACAAACTCAAGCTGGCAACCTTTTAGTACTGTCACTTAAGAGATTTTTTTCCCCCTCTGCATTTCTCCTCTAAATGAATTCCATGCGACTTCATAATGGATAACTGTAGTAAGAAAAGAGAAAAGCTCTAAAATGCTGGAAGAAAACAATAAAATGTATTTTGACCAGAAGCAGTTGGCCTCCCCTGTCCCCTCTTTAGTAAAAGCTCAAAAAAAGCTTTGCACTCTGGACACCAAGATGGCAGGATCATTTAAATTCTGCTCAAGTATAAACTTTTCTGACCTTCACCATGTTGAGGCATGACTATTTATACTTCTGCATCAATTCCATGTATTCAAGACATATTAAAAGACATTAAGTCCATAAACTTCACTGACCCTTTTCTGCTGCTTAGTTCATTAATGCTGAGATATATCAATGTAAAAAATAAGTGGGTGATTACCTCTTGAAGAACCCTCTTCATTTTCAGAAGCAATGTCTTGACAGCCGTGCAGTCTTGCAGCATCAGTCTGAAGGGCAGAGACTCAATGCCTCCACCTTCTTCCAGACCAGCGAAAGGCCACTCCACAGATGGGCTGCCAGCCAGCTGGCTGACACGAGGGTACCTGGCTTCTCCTTGCTCCACCTCCTTCGACAGCTTCAAGGATAGATTCCTTGTGAGAGAAAACAGAAAGATCAACACTAAAATATGAAAAAGAACTAGTAATTTAGGGGGTGGTAATTCCTCTCAGCTTAAAGACACTTATACATTTGCTTTCAGAGACTGCTAACATGAACAGCCTTTATAACATCCATGTGGCCATATGGTGCTAGCAATAAAATACACATTTATAAAAGGACCATATTCTACAGGAGTTAAAACCATGTTCTAGCTCACACCCTACAAAAGAAAGTTATTTTCTTAAAACAAAATATCCTACGGGCAAAACTTCTACAGGTCTATTTTATTTCAGTCGAGCTTTACAAAAAAATGAATCTGTCACGCACTTTCAGAAGCTAAATCAAATCACAATCTTCCATGTGCTTTGACTTAGAACTCACAAAGAAAAGAAAACAGCAAAAAAAAATTACTCCCTTCTGGGCTGGCCCAGTGACATAAGATGAACCTCTATTGTATAAAACGGAATATGGAATTTAATTAATCTGCACTCACTCTTAGGTTTAGTTACTACTAAAGCCATATAAGCACAATGCGAAACAAAACCAGTAAGTTGCAGGTGAGAATCCGTTAAAGACACAAAGATTTTGATGGACTTGAAAGGTAATGAAAGAGCATTATTTTGCTGCATACCCATTATCTTCCTTGAATATCAGAAAAAGTTATCTAACCATTTTTCCTATGATGAAGAAAGTCATACTAAATTAACTCAGTACAATTAAAGATGCTAGCACTTAAGCAGTGAAGAAAATCACAATTATTATTCACTTAAAATATTGTTCCAATTTTCTGTTCCATTTGAATTTTTATGCAACACAAAACTGATTCTGCCATAGTTTGGAAGGACAAAGAACATTCTCCCACCTAGGATTTTCCTTAGCTTTGGTTTCATAGGATCAACAGACAAAACCAGATTAATGCCATTTCTTAAGACAAACAATTCCCACTATCATACTAAAAAATCTGGAAATTAGGATACTATAACTTTTATGGATGGTTCATTTTTATATTTTGAAAGCTATGTAATATGCAGTAAAAAAACCATGTTAGGTCAAGCAATGTACCACAGAGATCACACACACGGGCAGATCCTCATGTTGGCCAATGGAACTAAAATTTCAGGCTCTTCAAGACTCATAAAACAACAAAAACTAGTTGGTTTTAATTTTAAAATGTACTGAAACATCTTTGAGTGGAGCATTTTGTATCCTTTAAAATAAAAATACAAGGTGGATGGTAAAGTTGCTTTTGATTGAAGGATATTAAACCACTGCTGTTTTATAGCCTTTAAACAAGATCCAGGTATAAATCACACAAAGAAAAAACAACGTATGAAACTGAAGTATCATAACATAGAGCGCTTTTAAAGGTTTATAAAAGAAACCATATTCAAACTGTTGGAACCTACACTTGCATAAGATGTATGTATCCAGAAAAGCACATTATTTAAATTAAGATGAAACAACAAGGTTTTGTTTTTTTTCCCCACCCAGCATCTGCAGGCTAGAAGATGGATTATTCCTTAGAATATTCTGTACATTCACTTCATAAGTCCCACTGAAGTTTCATCTTCCTCATATTCCTCTACAGGCATTCTATGTGGGTCCCATCCTGGCCCTGAGAAAGGACCAGTTTAAGAAGTACTGGCTCCCAGGAGGAGCCTTTTACTGTCCCTTGTCACAGAGAAGAACCTGGTATCACCAGCCATGCCCTGCTCCCCTGCGAGGAGAAAATCAGCGGTATTCTTGGAAAACTATCCTCCCCTCTGGAAGAGATACATTGTTTATGTATAAGCCATAGATGTACTGGAAATACAGCAATTCTGAATTTCAAATAAAATTTTCAGTTTTTTCAGTGGGTTTCAGGTTCCTATCACACTGCTCAACACACAAAACTACCATATTTTCAAACACAGATTCTTGCACTATACTATGAAAAGCACTGTAATAACATATTACCCCTCACAATCTTTAAGAGTTTAAAATCTTACTGTTTCTTGAAAATGGTGACTCAGAGTTTGATGATATACAGAAAACATTCAGATTATACAGTCCTTCCTGATAGTTCAGAGGTACTTTAACTGATCTGTGACAGAAAAACTCTGCACTCTCTGATACAAATCATTCTACTTGCTGCAGAAAAAAAGCAGCTCATTTAAACTTCATTCCAGAAATGGTATTTCATCAAGTTCATTATTAACAGCATCTAGGTGGTCTGCTACATTATTATTACAGTAATACACTGCAATTAATCTCAAAGCAACAAGACATTTAGAAAGGGGGAAAAAAACCAACTGAATTATTCCTAAATTAGAAGTTTCACTTTGTTAGTAAAATATCTCAGCCTCTGAAGCTGGAGTAGGGCTGGTTCCCTGACTGGTAGTGCAGGTGCTCCTTACAGATGGCCAGACTCCTCCACCTTCCTAACATGCATTCATTGTAATAAAAACATTTCACAGGCAAATATTATCTATGACAAATTTCTTAGGCCCTTGGAAAAAAGCCTCCAAAGGTCTATTATAATGACCAAAGCAATGTATTTCCTGTAAGTGACAACATTAAGTACATAATATTATCAACATACAGTATTTCAGAAAGGTAATTTGGCCACTTTTAAATACATGGCTATGGCCTGAGCTCTAAATTCACCTACCATATGCTCAGGCTAAGTTTCTACTTTAACAAAACCACACCTGAAAATGTTCTGAGCACTGGAAGTCAGTTTTAAAATGCTTCTGAAATAGCTTGACCCAACCCCATTATCACTCTTCCCAATGATTCCCTGGCATGGTCTGGTTGTCACTACAGGTAAATTGGATGGTTACCCTTCATTCTGGAAGATGTCAGTGGTGGAGATGTGCACCATCCCATATAGAGGTCACCTCAAATCCCTGAGCACTGCAATGGAGCCATGAATAATAACAAAGAAAAGGACACATATCCACTGAGCACCACAAATCTACTCCCTCATTTCTAATTGATACAAAGAATTAGAAGCTACAATATCCACAGTCGGTAAAATGGTAGTGCCATTAGGGCAGATTTCTATTTCAAAAGCAGTCTTTATTGAAATAGTATGCTAGCATTAAAATGATCAATCAGTGGCTTTCAGCATTTAATAGCCTCCATCAATCCAATGTAACTACGTGTTAACTGAGTAAGAGACACAGTTGTGCAGATCCTTTGAAAGCTCCTTTTCCCTAGGAAGCTAGAACAAAACCAATTTTCTTATACTAAAGAATTCCTAAAGGGTTTTATTTTTAAGAAAAAAATGAGAAAAAAAGGGAAAAGAAAGGAGAGGAAAAAGGAAGGAAGAAAAAAAAAAAGAAAGGGGACCCAAAGACACGGATTTGCAGCTTGAGCTTGTTTAAGTCATTCTTCCCTTCTTACTGATCCTCAGATCAATGATTTGAAGAGCTTATGGTAATTTGAACTTCACTTACATAAAGATCCCCAGATTATGTGGACTTTAATCTTCTTAGTTTTCATCAGCAGTGCTCAAGATGTTGCTAAATCAGAATTAGCCTAAACTAATACAATTGGTTCCCCTGAGTCTGCTTCTCTTGATATCAGCTTAACAGAGGAGAACCCATGTGACACTGCTGGCATCAGGAAGGCTCTGAAAGCCAAGCAAAAGACCCCAGACTATATGAGAAGAGCTGAACACACCTTCTTTCTTCCCTGAGGGATTATCTTCTAAAGCAGGGTCTTAGAAAAAGCCTTAAATCTCTAATCTGCAGTGTTTAAGTGTGTAGCTGTGTGTGTATATAGTCATAAAGATACCATGTATATACACGTGAGTTTTTATAGCTCTGTGTGTGTATATATACACATATGTTTGTAGAAGTCATACATATACTTATATATAAACACAAAATTTTGATCTTGGTAAGTTTTTCAAAAAAGACCAAGCAGTTCTTATTTGTCCATAGCTTGGCCCATTCTTTTACATTAGAAAAAAGATGTTTTTAGTTTCATACAGAGGTTATGTCCTGAAATCCTATTTCACATTAATCTCAAAAGAAATATGGATTGAAGGCTTTCTCCCATCCAGAATTCTCTTTTTCCTCACTAACAGTAAATAGGTTTTCCTCCTTCAGAGAATTAACTAATTAATATTCTGATAAATAGCCCTCAGCTGGACCACATAAGACATGTAAGAGCAATTGCTTCTGCTTTTTAGAGGAAAAGTTGCCTACCTCAAATACTTCCAAAATTCAGTTTGAAGCACTCTTGGCTCTCCTAAAACGAAGTACATTACCCGTGAAACCCTACTATCATCCCATACTGAATCTTAATCTCTGAGTGATCTACTAATCTCATCTAGTAAAGAGACATGTTCTATCCCAAACAGTTCACAACTGAAATACAGAGACATATACACACAAGGTCCCTCACCCCATTTAGCAGAATAAAGACACAGACTTCAAAAAGCATGTTCCTAAATTTTACAATGAACATATAAAATAATGTCCTGCTAGGTGCCTAAATGTTCTCAAGACCTAAAAAACATTTAAAAACTCCTCAGTTCTGAAAACACAGGCTTTGCAATACTAAGATAAAAACCTAACCAGAACTTAAACACTTGGCTAATTACCCATATTAGCATTCTTTGGCATAAAAATTTCTACCTCTCTCTGTCTCACACAATTTCTCAACATTGCTTCTACTGTAACAGAAACTGCTTCAGAAGTTGTAGGGATAAGATCTCGGAATCTTGTACACCAGCATGTCATAAGATACACATTGTTTGACATTTTACAGCTTTTAGAGGCGTGCATCCTCTATTGATTTTTCAAGATCAGCCTTTCAGAGAAATGATGTCCAGCATCTGCCACTATCAAACTCTCCACCCACACACAAGTGTGCACACAAACTCTAATGGCCAGTGCAACTCTGAGTTAAGAGAATATCAACTTTTTCCATTAAAACTGCTTTTCTTTCCAAGGTTTATATCACAGTCATAAAGACATCCTTTGGGCTAGAAAATGGTGAT